ACATGACAAATAAATAAATATGCATATATTATATGACACAGAGAAACAACAGAGTCTATTTCGGATATATACATGTGCATGGCAAGAAAAATGAATCTTGTGAGTTTACCAGACGGATGGCATTAAGGCAGGACATAAAGCGAGATTTGGACATAAGAGTGAGCATGATACGGGGTCAGACTAGAAGATCTCCTAGATCATTATACATTTCTGAGTCTTGAAGAAGAACAGGAAACTTGAACTCAGGAAGTTTAAAATGTCAAACCACAAAAGCTAACACCTGCTGTAAGTAGGTCAAATCAGTTGGAGGTCTCACTTGCGAGTCAGACATAGAGCTTAACCACATAAGTTAGTATGAAACTAGTGCTTCCTGCATGCCACCTGCGGCCTAGACATGTAATCTGCTTAGCCAATAGAAATGAGCTAGCATATTTCCGTGTTTTGATGCTTTGAGCATACTATAAGAACGCACGTTTCTATTAGAACACTGTTCAGATGTTAGAAATTGCTATCTCTATCTGAACTATTTGGCTAAATAAAGCTTCTCTTGATCTCACACTCCGGGTCTCCTGATTTTCCGCAACAGCATAAGGAAGAAAGCTGTTACAGAATCTGGTAGTCCTGCTAGAAATACTTTCAAACCTCCTTCCAGAGAGGAGCAACAGAAACAGACCGTAAAGTGGGTGTGTGAGGTTTTTAACAATGCTTTGAACTCTAAGCGCATAGCGCTTATAAGCAGTATCCTGAATAACAGGAACAGAGCTTCCCAAAATCTTCTCTCTCTATGGACCTTCTATCTGAGGCACTGCTACCACCAAACCAAATAGCGATGCAGTTTGTTAAAATGCTCTCAACTGTGCCTCTGTAAAAAGTGGCCAGGACAGAAGGAGAACGCAGGAAATGCAGACACTGGTTTGCATACTTCACTAAGGATGACATGTGGAGACACTAATTCAGTCTGTTAGTTATCTGCACCCCAGACAGTTAATATTGTTGATCACTTCTACAGCTGCATCCTTGATACTGAGTGGAGTATGACTATACCGGATCTTTCTAAAATCTACAATGATCTCTTTTGTTTTATTAACATTTAGAACCAAGTTACTTTTATTGCAACAGTCCACCCCAGCCTTCGCCTCTTCCCTATAAGCAACTTCATTGTCGTCCTACCAATGCTGTATAATCCACCTACTTCACAAGATGGTTTGTTCTTACAATCTTTGGAAGGCACTTCTCCAAATCATGAAGTTTGGAAAGGGACCTTTCCAATGATAACAAGAATGTGTCCACTTACAAGATGGTGTGAGGTAACCTTGGTAGTAAAAACATGCCTCTTATTAGCTTGGTGCATCTGCAATTGCAGAAAAAGGCAAAGATACTGGGCCTAGTGGGATAGGGATAGGGCTGAAGCCTCTTGGGCACGGTGGAGAGAGGACCCAGTCCTCCCATGTGTGGTGGGACTAGAAGTGAACCCTCTCCCCAGTGTTAACAAACTATGTGATTGCTTAAAGACTGCAACCGGACGTGCCAAGATTGTGGTCATTGACTAAAGTGGTCATGTAATAATCTCTCTCAGTGGTTATTTTGCTGAACAACTGAGATAACAGTCCTAATTTTGCTCATTTGTTGAGGACTACATGTGATGCAATGTAATTGGTTCCTTTCTCCCATCTCTATACTTAGCAGAGCATTTGATAGCAATCAAGTCAAGTAAATAAGTTTATTGTTATATCCATATGTCATAACAGATAGCACACCATAAAATAATAAAATAAAATAAAAACAGCACAGCACTAAAAATTATAAAGTCATTATAATTATAAAATTATAAAAAGTCAAAAGTATTAGATTTTAAAAAGTTAAAAAAAGATAAAAGCAAAACTACCACCGCATTTTTCCTCCTGGATCATCCCATTTCCCTCTCCAGAAAAAGGTGCAAGCCCCTCTTTTAAGGACTCATAAGCTTTTCTAACAGATCAGTAATTTGTAAATCCATTTTCATTAATACCGTAAAAGATATGGAAGCCATTTTTTCTGCTTTATCTCTCATTTTCCAAAACACCTAATGGCTGGAATATAAGGATACGATAGACCTGAAGAAAGTCACAGTTTATATGTCATGTGTTCAAATCTATAACAGCTGGCACAACTATTTGAAACAGTAACAAAATGTATGTTTAGTCCAGTGGTAGTCAACCTGGTCCCTACCGCCCACTAGTGGGCGTTCCAGCTTTCATGGTGGGCGGTAGGGGTTTGCTGTAACTCTGCTTTATAAATTTTATAAAGTTACTTCCCTACTTTATAAATCACCATTACTGTGGAACCGGTGGGCGGTTAGAAAATTTTACTACTAACAGAGATACAAAAGTGGGCGGTAGGTGTAAAAAGGTTGACTACCCCTGGTTTAGTCCAACTTTTGCAAGATACAGAACTTCAGTCTTCTGAAGCCTTAGTATTATATTATATCTGTCTGTTTAATAAGATTTGTACAATAACTTCTATAAGTAAGACAGTCTTACATTGATGCCATAAGAAAAATTATGAGAATTATATTCAAGCTGTCGTTTAATAATTTCTTGCAACCATATGCATTTTTTTTTAAAAAAATGGCCATATGGTAAAGTACCACCACCTGTTTTTAAACTAGTAACAAAGTGACATAGCAGATTGCCAGTGATACAAATTATAGTAGTACTAGCATGAAAATATACAGAATACATAAAGCATATATATAGAATATACACAGTTCAAAACAACATCTGGATAAAAGTGACCAACCACTTTATCATTGTGATACCACAAATCAAAGCAAACTTTTTGTTTTGTTTTCTATTTATTCAGACCTTTGTACCACATTCTGCCATTCTTCAATTTAATTACATATATGGCACATTATGCATAGTTTTTTTCTTATTTTAAAAACCTGTTAATTACTCTTAGAACCGTTTTTTTCTTTCCCAGCTTTCTAGAGCTAAGCATGAATTAGCAAATTTAGACTCAATCACCTATTTAGGAAGAAATACATTTCTTATTTCAGAAACTAGTGAACCTATTCCGCTATTAGCAAGAAAGGTAATTTATCTGTGATTATTGATGTCTGTTATTATTTTTATTTTGCAGAACTTTATTTTCTACAACAAAACTTGTAGAAAACTATTTTTTATCTTTCAAATATGCCAACTGAATATTACAACATTCGGAGATCATTTAAGACAACGTAAAATAATATTACTAGATGTTCTAAGCTAGCAGTCCCCAACACCCAGGATGCAGCCTGCTGTCGAGCTGCGGTCTCTTAGAAACTGGGCCATGGGAGAGATGGGCCAGTGCATGCGCATGAAGCTCCCACTCATGCAAGTGACGGGCAAGTGCATGCACATGAAGCTTCATTCGCATAGACGACACTTCAGCTCACATGCAAAACTCCACTTGTACGAGTGGAGGACGCTTGAGCTTGTGCACCAAGCTCCATTCTCGCAAGTGGAGGGTGGCTCTTATGCTTGTTCATGAAGCTCCATTCACATGAATGGAGCTAGTGCCCTCCGCTCTAGCGGTCTAGGAGACCGCCTCCTGCCGATTACCTCCCACAGACCGATAAGATCTCACAGGTTAAATCTCCTCCGGATTCCATCTGCCAGCCAATGTTGGCTGGCGACTCCCCGGAGGGAGAGCCTTCTCTGTTGCAGCTCCAGCCCTCTGGAATGACCTCCCCGTGGAGATCCGGACTCTTACCCCCCCCCCGGCCTTCTGCAAAGCCATCAAGTCCTGGCTGCTCCAGCAGGCTGGGGAGCTTGTGAAACATCCAGCCCACGGAAATTGTGAATGTTGCGTTTTAAAAGTGTTGTCTTTGTCTATTTATCCCCCTTCCTTGTCTATTGTGAGCCGCCCAGAGTCCTTCGGGAGTGGGCGGCATACAAGACAAATAAACTATAAACTATAAACTATCTCATTTAGCAATGGAAATTCTGGGGTCGATTGTGGTCATAAGCTGAGGATTACCCGTATGGTTCATGGTTGACGGTTTTCCATTAAGCCTGAGCTGGGTGATTTCTAAGCGAACCCCTGGCTCTGATTCACTTAACAATGGTGGCAAGAAAGGTAATAAAATGGGGGGAAATTCACTTATCAGCAACAGAAATCTTGGGCTCAACTATGGTCGTAAGACGAGGACTGCTTGTATTCCAGCATGTTGGATAATCACTGTTGGATAATCACTGTT